GAGGGGACACAATTCAGTCTAGGACAGAGACTTATCCTAAGTAAGGACCACTGAATACTAAGTCAATTCCAAAATTCCAACTCATGATGATCCCACAGGATGGAGTTGAACTGTCTCGTAGGATTTCCGAGGCAGTAATTTTTACAGAAACAGATCGTCACTTCTTCCTCCTGCAGAACAGTTGGTGAGTTCAAACTTCTGACCTTGCAATTATCAACCAAGAGTTTATCCAGTACACTATCAGGTCTCCTTAGTACGAGTCACAGAGCTGTCAGAAGCAAGCACCTGGGAAAGCAAGAGTTTCTGAGATTATGAGGTCAGAAATGAACAAGGGCCAAGGTGCGTCCAAACACCATCTTAGCCCTCACAACATATTAAACTGACTTTAACCAGGATTTGGGTGAGGACACATTGTAATAAGACAGGAACCATACTCCACCACCGTGGGACCACACCAGCTGCAATGGTTCTATGACAAGGGGTGACATATGACAGAGAAATGCTGTCACCTCAGCACAGACACAGTATTGGTTAAATTCTGGGTAAAGTGTTGCTGTGTCTGGATGTTGGCATGTGTGGGCAGAGGGTAGAGAATTATTTTCCATTTTTTCTCCAAAAATGTATTTTGGAGAAAGTCTAGCCCTCTTCATTCTTCACTCCTAACTTTCTGTTCTTTTTCTTCTAACATCTCAAAATAGTATGTATTTGATCATGAGTACTCACATTCTATATTTCACTCACTCTTCATTATTGTAGGGTAAGTATAATAATAGGGAGCTCTGTGGCCTTGTGGTCAAAACTTATCCTGCCAACACAAAGGTAAGAAGTTCTAATCCACTAGCTGCTCCATGGGAGGAAGATGAGATATCTCTTTCCATTGAACTTATTGCCTCTGAAAACCTGCTGGATGGTCATCTATGGGTCAATTCCGACTTGATGGTATATCACAACAATAACAGTCCATAGTTTACAGAGAAGGAAGCAGACCAAAACTGTTGGATTTTGCCCCCATAGTTCAGCCCTTGAACAGGATGCTCTTCACCCTATAACCTCTGCAGGTTTGCCTTCCTGAGCAAAGAGTGTCTTCCAATTAGGCCAGGGCAGTATGAGGACATCTTCAAAGCTTCAATGTTTGAAAACTTTCTATAAGACTCATTTGTGGTTGTTGTTATGCATGGTAGTCAGAACCGACACCCAGCTGACCCTCTGGTGCGTTTTCAGAGGCAGTTAATTGCATGGGAGGAGATTGCACATCCTTCTCCTACAGAGAGACCAGTTGATTTGAGCCATGTGCCCTTCAGGATTGCAGCGCAATTTTTTGCCATTAAGGCACCAGAGCTCCCCATAACACTGGTAGAGCCAATAAAGCATTCTGAGTCTCTTGACCGCTCCCACAGGGGAAGATTTACAGCCCCTCCTTTGCCTGGGGTCAGCATGTTTTTTTTGTCTTTTAAAGATATTAAAGATAGAGTTGCTCCTTCCCCCTGGCAGTGCGAATAACACACTGAGTTAGAGTGTCTGAGACTCACCTCTTTCCCAGCAGGCCTTCCTCAGTGGTCTAGATCTGGGCTGGCTGGCTGTGTTTCTGGCATGGACGAGTGACTCCATTATGTCTTTTCTCGCTGCACATTATGTTGCTGGAAGAGGTGGAGAGCACAAGCTCCTGGGGGACTTCAGACATACCCTGCCAAACTGGCTTCTCAAGGGAATGGCTCTCACTCTCACAATTCATTGTCTTTGTTGGAGCTCATAGCTGACCCTGCAGCAGATTTTCCTAGGCTGTAAACTGCACAAGAGGAGAATGCTCATATTTCTCCTATGAAGCTGGTGGATTCTAATTGCCAGAGAGGGATAGCCATGGCTGGTTAGCAAGGCAACTCTCTATCCACTAAGTAACCAGAGCTCCTTATGTGTAGTGTTATTGTTGTTGTTAAGTGCTGTGGAGTCGTAGATGACTTATAGCGACCTTATGAACAAAAGACCTGAACACTTGCATAACTTTCATCATGTCTCGAAGTTCATAGAGTTTCCGGAGGCAAGTTATTTCAGAAGTGGATGCCACTTCTGCTTCCAAACCTGTCTTAATCTGGGAGCTCCACCAAACACTGTCTCCCATGGGTAACCATTATCACATTTGACACATCAGTGTGTAGCGAACAGCATTCCTAGTGTTGCTGTGCTATTGTGTATGACTGAGTTGGAACCAACTCATAGCTGACTCTCCTGTGGATTTTTAAGGGCAGTAAATCATATGGGAGGAGACTGCCCATCTTTCTCCCATGGAGCACCTGGTAGATTCAAACTGTGTACCTTTGTGATAGCAGCACAAGTCTGAGAAATGTACTTTTGCACTTTCTGGTCACTGCAGGACAAAAAGTGGTTGAAGACATATGCTGAGTGCCAAACCATCATATTTGTATACTGGCAGTGATGGTGGAATACTGAGGATCTAGAATAAAATATCCAAAGAAATTTTCTAATAAAATATGTCTTGCTATTTATTTTGAAACAGAAAAGGCTGTTTCTGAAGATTATGAGGATGTTCACATTTTCTGTTGTCTTAACCATCTAAAAGGTCATGTTCCCCCCAAAATTCTTCCACAACAAAATACAGTGGTTTCTTATTGTGATCTGTCTATCGACATCTATCTATCTAGAGAGAAAGAGAGAGAGGTGGAGGGAGACAGATATAGATGCATATCTTATAAAACAATTCCAGGCACTTAAAAAAATAGATTATAAGCATTATTTAAAGTTTGAAAAGTAAGAGTAAAAATTAATTCCATGGCATTACAATGATAATTTTACTTTTTTATGTGCTTATTTTACTTTACCTATTTCTGAATGCAATATTTATAGAGTTGGGGTATTTTTTTTCCTCTTTTTCATCTGTTGTTATGTGCTGTTGAGTCACTTGCAACTCACAATGACCCTATGTAAAACAGTCCCTGATAACATTCATTCACATACTAAGTTACACAAATGATTTTTCACGAAAGTTCTTGTATGTCATAATCGCAATTTTAAATAAGTGCAAAAATATGGTTGTTTCCAATTATTGACTACTATAAATAATAGTTTGAAGAAGAACTTCATGGACCTTTAAGGTTTTGTTAGACTTCCCTAAAAGTGGGACAATGGATTACTACGTTCTGGCCATATGAGATATGCTTTTAAATGAGCATTATCAGCTTTTGATGTAATTTCTTAACAATGAACTTTTATGACAGCAGGGAATTTTTCCTCTAGCAATCACTAGACATGGTGGCTGTTTCCCAATAAAAAAAGAATATCTAATCACTCATATGATTTAATAACACGAAGCTGCACTGCAGTCCCTAAGACATTGGGTTTGAGGCCATCAGCTGCTCTGCAGGAGGAGGATGGGAAATAGCCTCCTGTGAGAATAACTGCCTCTGAAAACCCACCAGAGGGTCAGCTTTGGGGTCAGTTCTGACTCTACAGTACATAACAACAACAACAACAGCTCAAAATAATAGCAACCAAAAATGGGAGAATGGTGGCTTTTGCCTTGAGGAATCTTCTAACAAAGTTCACAAAACAGAGCCTAAGAGCTGCCTGGGAGGCTGTGACAGGAACCTTGGCAAAACATAGGTACAGCATCTTGAGCATCTCCTCTGCTTTTTCATATCTCAAAGCCCAGCTTTTGTGACCACAAGTGTTCTCTGGATAAGGGAAGGAGGCCCTGGTTGGGGTAGTAGTTGATCGTCAGAGTTGAGTCTTAAGACATGGAAAATGTACATATGGCAGATTTCCAAAATATTAAAACAAAGTTGTTGGTTTGGTTTGTTTGGTTTTTTTTTTGTTGTTGTTGTTGTTTTGTTTTTTTAAGTTAGCTTGGAATGACTTTAAAACTAGGAGAGTAGTCTTAAGAGTCAGGTGCACGATTTTACTGTCAACCACTTTGACAGTAAGAGATCTGACTTCTAAATATTTCCCAAGCATGTTAAAACCAAAGACAATTCAATATACATCCTCCCAAGGAGTTCATCCTGCTTGCTACTTAGCGTTTTGATCTGTTCAAAGCAGATTGAATCTAGTCTCTTTGTAAGAAAGTCAATTACTGCCTTGAGTTGACTGTCTCTCATGGTAAATCTCTCTTGGGTTTCTAAGGCTGTAAATCTTAACTGGGGGAGAACGCCCATCTCTTTATTTAATAAAGTTTGAAGAGAAATATGATCTTTTGATTAGCAGCAGACTATGCTACGGAACTCTGACTATGTAAACAGAGCTCCTTTGTAAGAAAATAGCCTTATGTAATAAATGTTTTCAATGAAAGAAACACATTTTAAATAAATATTTCCCCCAACAAAGTAGCCCAAACATGACCGTGAGTGTTAAATCTGTCCCCTTCGAGTCGAGTGTCGCAAAAAAATAAACTGCACGACTGCTATCCTTCAATGAAGTCCCAATTCTAAACTCCACTCAACCCCCAACCCCCACTCTCCAACTACCATAACTGCTCCATAACTGACAAGACATCACAGCAACTTCTCTCCTTTAAGGCCTTAGAAATGCCACAGCTTGCTGAGCAGTACTCTGCAAAACTACTGGTACTTGGAGGGGGTAGTTTCCTAAACCACTGTTAAGTGATCTCACTCCAGCTCTAAGTATATCACCCTTGGGGCTTCGCTGACCCTCCAAACCAGGATGCAAAGACTACCTTTCCAGGTAGTAAAATTTCCCAGGACATCGACTCCGCTCGCCCCCATCTGGTTGCTTGGAAATTTGCACAGGATAGGTGATGTCACACAGAGAGGCGGGTCCCTACTGTCCCGCACACCAATGGCACTGCCGCGTCTGGTCTCTTCTTTTCCACTGATTGGTGTTTTTGAGCCCCTCTGCTCCACCCCATCCCGCCATGGCGTCAGGCGCCGCAACACCAGGGAGGTGGTTCCCACTTTAAGAAGTGAAGTTTTTAACCCCCTCCCCTTCCCTGTCCACCTTCTGCAGCCGCCGGTCTCCGGGGGAGCTGGCGGATGGAGCTTCGCTGCGGCCGCATAGGGGGCCAGGCTGTGAGGCGGATGATGGATGGGGACACCCGAGATGGCGGCGGCGGCAGCAAGGACACCGGGTTGGAGGAGTATGAGAACCTGCCGCCCAGCGTCTCCTTATCCACCCACATGACAGCCGGAGCGATGGCCGGGATCCTGGAGCACTCGATTATGTACCCGGTAGACTCAGTGAAGGTGAGCCGGGAGGTGACGTTGGGAGACAGAGCAAGTAGAGAGAGTGAAGCTAGAGGAAACGCGTGCGCGCGTGTGCATCCCGCGCAGGACCCGAGTCGACAACGCAATGAACGCACGCTGTCCGCCGGGCAGTGCCGGGCGTGGAGCGCGGCTCCCGCGGCCGCTCAGACCTGCCCCTCCGGGACTGGAAGGGCCGCAGCCGAGCAGGGGTCGCCGGACGCGGGTAGCCTGGGCGCTAGAGAGAGCACGCCGCTGCGCCGCTCCTTCCGCCACGCGTTTCGGCGACCGGGGCGCCTCTTGACCTGGAGAGGTTGCTACGGTGCCCACCGTCACCGCTCCCTCCTCTTCCCTACTGCTGGCGCCCGTCCTTGGCTTGGTGGTGGCTAGGATCGTGAAGGAGGGTGCAGCTTTGCGCAGTATTACTCCTCTTGCCGCCGCGATCGCGGATTTTGGGGTCCTGAGCGCTTGTGAACGCGGGTGGACTCGCGGCGCCTTCAGGCCTGTGTGGGGAGCTGAGGCTGCCCACACGTGCGGCGGTGCTGGGGGCGCTGGCCGAGGGGAAGCGGCAACCACGCTAGAGCCGAGAAACGTGGCCGCAGCCGGGCCGCACACCCTTCGGCCCTGATGACTTGCGTTTCATGGTTTCGGGGGGAGGGCTGGGGCACTCTTCGTGGCGCGCGGTGGTTAAGCGCTTGGAACCCACCAGCTGGGAGAGAGAAGTGGCAGTCGGCTCCTGTAAAGATTTAAAGCCTCAGAAACCTTTTTTTTTTTTTGTAGCTACATTCAGTTTATCATAACTTGAATAGGTTGTACATTGAAGATCTTGTACACTGACTTCATCTACAGAATTTATTTGTATCTCCAAATTCTGCCTCTTGTTCCACTAATGTTCTCTTTCCCTGCCACAATTTAACACTAGATCTCATCTTACCAGTGGCTATCATCTGCCCTTTGTTGTTGTTGTCGTTATGTGCCCTTGAGTCGCTTGCGACTCATAGCGACCCTTTGTACAACAGCTCTAAACCCTGC